TTAACAAGCGAGAATATGTTCTGGAGGATCTTCCGTGAAGCGCTGCTATTATAACAAGCGGGAGTGATAAATACAATTGAAGGGAAAGTGATTAAACACGTCAAGAAAAAGTGAGGGGAGCGGGTTACGGTAGATGCAGATTTCTCAGAATGTAGGACTATCAAAGGGCACAAACTTTTCTGACGTCTTAATCATGCTCTAAACCGCTTGCAAAGAGGCGGGCTCTGCCACCGGCTTCTCGGCATCCTCCTGCTGATCTTTGCGTTTAGTAGGGGTTTGGGATCCTAAACCTCGGGCCTTTGAACCCTGAACTCTCGGACGGCCGCACTAAACCTCAAACCCTTACAGCCCTACAAAACCCCTCGTACCGTGTGCAACGTTATACGAAGCCCTTGAGGAAGCCCTGCACCATGAGCCCCTCTCCTTTGTACAAAACTAGCCCAAAAGCCTTTTATAATACGGTCTATGGGCCCAAAAGCCTCAAAATATGAGTCCTTTGAGGGTAAGGGCTCAGCAAAAATCTAAAACCCATTCGCCCGAAGCTCCTCGAAAGACTTGCCGGCCAGGTCCGGATCCGCTTCGCTGCTTGTCCTTCCCCAGTCCGCGCAAGGCTCCCGTGGAACGAAGGGGTTTTTTCCCTCTCGCATGGCAGAGAACAAAGCTCACAGGCGAGGTTGACATAGGATGGGGTTTTGGTTTGGGGTATAGGCTTTCGGGCTTACGGTTTCTCTGAAGTGTTCCCTTGAGGGGTTCTATAACAAAGGTTCCATGCGGGATTTAGGGCCCTTTTCGGGCCTATGGCTTTGGGGCGTACACTTGTCTACTTTTATCAATGAAGCAGCAACAACAACAGCAGCAGCAGCAGCCGCACCAGCACCGGCACCGGCACCCGAGAGTGTCCGGCCTCTCGCAATTGCGATTCGTGACATGCTCGGACTCTTCTTGTTCCGGCTGCCAGAACGACTGACACATGTCCGCAATCCCTAAACCCTAAACCCTAAACCCCAAACCCGGAAAGGACCTCTGCAACTCTTCGGTGATCAGGGTCGCAGCCTCAAGGGTGGCAACGGCATCCACCTGCAATGCTGAGAAGCAAAGCCGCAGTTCATTTAAGAGAACCCTCGTAGCACTCTTTAAAGGAACCCTTATAGACCCCTTTAAACTTTACGGGTTCTTCATTTAAAGCGAACCCTTGTAGATCTCTTTAAAGGAACCCTTATAGAACCCTCATAGACCCCTTTTAAACTTTATTTAGGGGAACCCTCGTAGCTATCTTTAAAGGAACCCTTATAGAACCCTCATAGACCTCTTTAAACTTTACGGGTTCTTCATTTAAGGGAACCCTCGTAGCTCTCTTTAAAGGAACCCTTATAGAACCCTCATAGATCCCTTTAAACTTTACGGGTTCTTCCGGGGGATCGGGCCTTCAGGGCTCGGGCTTTACGGCTGAGGGTTTCGGCTTGAGGAATGGGTAATTTTAGGGTTTACTGTTGTAGGGTTTAGGGTTTAGGGTTAAGCGCGTCTTATGCACGTCTAATCGAATTCAACAAAATCCACCTGTCACAGAATGCATGAAAGAATCAGGTCGCTTACTGTAACCAACCCTCAGCACCCTTTCTGGGGGATGGGCAGTAAACTACACAGCGATCCTTGGCATGGTTTAAGTCCTGGTGCAAGGTATATCCCTCAGTTCTGTGCAAGGTTTTGATTCTGTGTAAGATGACCGGAAGCTGTCGGGCAAGGTATAAGACTATAAGACTATAAGATTATTCTTTAGGTCCCGGGGTGTAAGCTCAACAAGCTCGCCAAAGTGTCTACGCTAGCTATACCTTGCGGGATGCTAGTGACTTCAACATCAAGTCTGGGCCAAAGCACTAATCTTTGATAGACGTCGTTTCGGGGTATTGCGGGCCCCATGTAAAGCTCCCTAATTTCTGAAGTTGCTACATTGATGCGTTGCATGACATGGGGCTGTGTCGCGATTTGCGGCTGCTGTCAAACCGCCGTTATTGATTGGTGAAGAGTGAAGGCAGGCGGCGAGGTTGTGGCAAAGGGTGCAAACCAAGTACAAACATCGTTGAAACCCTCTCGCCCCAGGCTTCTTGGCCTCACTCGTGCACGGAAGCTGTCCAAACCCTAGACCCGTGGTTGAACCCAAACTCCATCAGCTGGGAAGCAGCAATGCAGCAAAACCCTAAACCCTACACGCAAACAAAACCGCGGACCCCAGTTGCAATGCAATTTCGGATCCATCAACCCTGAACCCAATACATGACACCCTTCCAAGACGCGTTAGAGGAACCCTACAACAAAAAAATGACACTTCGAAGTCCCAAGGTCCTGTATGCCCCAGAAAAACCCATAATGGAGAGCCGTTATCATAACTAGAGAATAGGGTTTTGGGGCCCGATATACTATAATCATAATCAGGAACCATCAAAAAATAATGTAGGTAATTATTGAAGCCCCTATGTTAACCTAAAAGGGAGAGCCAGAGCCCAGCACATGAGACCAGAAAACACACGACAGATCACGACAGACAACACCGGCAACAAGTCTTTGAACAAGAAGAACCGCGACGAATAACCGGCACAACCACCCCGAAACTAAACCTTAAGACCTAAAGCCCTAAACCCTAAACCCAAACCCTGAACCCTAAACCCGATCCAGGATCATGGCATAGAGGACGACAGCGGCATGGCTGTCTTCCTTGTAGTAGCTGCAGCTGCATGCCAATCACGCCGCCAACCCGGAACCCCAAAACCGACATCGGGGCCTGAACAACTAGAACACAGCTTTGGTGTATATGATAGTCTAGAACTCTCTCTCTCTCTCTCTATATATATATATATAAATATAACAACAATAATAATAATAGTAATAATAATAATAATAGGTAACTAGTAAGGTACGATAAGAGGCTGTTACTACTAGGTATTCCGATCTCTATATTATAATTTATCAAGACCCCCTCAGTTGAAGAGTTGCCAAACCATGGTTTCTACCTTTACAGCCTCTGACAAATATTCGTAAACTAAATCATCAAGCCCAACATTCAACACGAGTTTAAGCGCAACTCCATCGAAGCACTGATGAACACAGCTTGACATGTATCTCTCTATATGTTTCAGTCATGACCTATCGAACTGACCGTCAACCCTACGCCCTAAAGCTCCGCCGCCCACTCGCCCTACCTTAAGAACCCAAAACCTACTTTTTTTGTAGGGTCCCTATAAATCCCAAATTAAGGTTTATAATAAGAACCTACCAAAAAGTGGGTGTTGGGTTCTTAAGGTAAACCCATTCACACACCCGTGCTACGTTGCACCTGGCGCCATATACCAACCAAGCGCCGCCGCTGGTCTGCCGCCTGGGCCGGGCGCGCTTTGTCATATGCTTCTGGCACAGGCGGTTAAGGGTTTAGGGCTTTGGGACTTTAGAGTTTTAGGGTTTAGGGCTTTAGGGTTTAGGGTTTTAGGGTTTAGGGTTTTAGGGTTTAGGGTTTAGGGCCAACTTATCAATCAACTCCCTGGTTCCTAGTAGGGAAAGGGGGAATGGATCCCTGTGATAATCCCTGAACGCCCCTTATAGTAGTCCCAATTGCCCATTCCCCCATTCCCTCCTAAGAACCAGTCAGCCACTGCCTTACGTAAAGAACCGGACGCCCGTCGTTGGGGAAGATACCTTAGAAAGACCCTTCACATTGCTTAAAGTAGGTTCCTGGATTAAGGGATCTTGGGGTCTCTGAAGCTAGAAGCCCACCTTTGCATGCTGGCAAAAGGACCAAGTGGGGTCTAGGGAAATTTCCAAGTCCCAATATCTCATTGGCAAGTCTTGGTCTTCATTCTACAAGCCGCAAGAAACAAATCAGGCTGGCCTCACATGCTCGTCCTGCCGGATAAAGCAATGCTGTGAGATGCAGCATGCCCGCAAGTACACATGCCGATGCCATGATTACACCTGCCATGGGGTTGCTGGTGACAACCTGAAAACAACATGCACCGAAAGTAGGCATAATTACGTGTTGTTCAAACTGCTCCCCCCAGCCGAATCATTTGATTGAAGCCTTGTGCGCGAGCTTAGATCCGAAACCAAGGCATCCATGCCCATTTCTCAATATCCTATATAGTATACCTCCTAAAACTAAGTAGATCATATAAAATAAACCTTGTTGTTTGAAAGTAAAAACCCTTCAAAGTCTATATACCCTCTAATGTGCACAGGTGGCCCCAGCGTGAAGCTTAGGGCTTTAGGATTCGAGGGTAGGGGGATTTAGGGTCTTTTCCCTCTCGCATGGCTGAGAGTTTTATGTTTAGGACATAGGGTTAAGCGCCAAGGACTTCTTTGCCAACAGGTTGCCGCACGGGCAAGGTTTCTTGGTATCGGCCAGAGCCGAGCCAGCAGGGCACCCATCCGTCACTTCAAATAATAACAGTAGTAGTTCCTGTGTAAGTCAAAAACTATTGCAAAAAGAGGCAGATCTGGTGGAAGCAGAAGTCGGACAGCATGCACATAACCACACACAACCCATCATGGAGCCCTATCGAAACCCAGACATTTTTCAGCCATCTAGTCAATGCAAAATTGCCTATCTTACACTTTGCAACTTGTGCCCAAACCCTAAACCCTAAAC